ATTAGAGAGAAATCACCCCAGACACAGTTTAAAGGGCTGACAATAACGAAACCACCCTGAATCTCTCTGCTGAAGTCTCCAATAAAGAGCAACCTCGAGTGATTTTTGTGTTGTTGTTGCTAGGATACCACAAGGTCAGCTGACAAGTAACACAGTAGCTACAGGTGACTTATCATGTCAAACTGTGAGCATGATTAGACAGTACAGATAAAAATAAAGTTGCCACAAACTTTATATAGTCCTGCTTGGTTAGTACAGAAAAATAAAGAAAAACAGGACAACAAGAGTACAGTTGCACCAGAAATTGGAAAGCTGGTGTTTGAAGTGATCTTCCAATAAAGTAAGGCACTGACACTGAAAAAAGTTGCAGAAATATATCCTGTATAACAAGGAGTTTACACTGACACAAAATATTACCCATTTGGGATGGTCTGTGTATACCACCCAGTGTTGCACAAGGTGCCTGTGTCAATGTTGTCTACATCTCCTTCAGTCAATGAGAAGTTTTAACTCATACAGTATGTAGCTGTATATATCTAATAATGTTATGTCACAATGTGCACCTGTGTCCGGGAACAATAACAAGGTCCAAAAGGTGCAAGTGACACTGCTAAAGTGTGTGCTTTAAGGTGAATTATTTCCTAGTGTAAATGACTAAATATACCGGTATGCTACTTTTCAACCAACATATTGGAACTGACCTTGTATAAGCCCCGCCCCTTTTTGCTCTGTGCTCCAATAACAGCAACTCTCCTTTTCTGTACCCAGATATGCTATGTGCTAGGATCCTCTGTGTTAAAAAGACAATAACATTTTTAAAATGGTTAAAAGATAAAAGCCACATATATGGAGTCACATTAGCTACCTACATTTAGATTTACAGGCCTACGTAGCCTTTATTTTGTTCATTTTTTAAAAGTTTTGCCACTTAGGGGAAGCCTAAAAAGCTATAAATGCAACATTGGCACCATTAATATTTGCAAAAACTTTGAAAGCTATGTTGGTGAATATGTTAACATATGTATATATCCAGTAGACACAGATAAACTTTAGCTTTAGAGTCATGCTTCTGTCCATTTGACAAATTGTGAAAATGAAATGCTTCTCTGAGAGAAACCTTTGGCTATTTAAATGCTAAATGCTCTACTATGCTGAGCAGCTAGTTGCTAACTTGTCTGCCATTTAGGTCCTCGCAACTGTGACTGGAAACAAGGTTATTGAGGGCAGTGTTGTGGGCCAGAGAACCAAAAGAATGAGCTAAAAGAGGCTCCAACGCTACATAGAGCTGAGGGAAGCTGCAAGAGCTGGGTGACAATACTTTGTGGATGTATTGCAATGAGCAACATTTTTAATCCTATACATAATAATTTGATTGTTATTAAAAAACAATCATTAGAGCAGCTTTATGGTAAAAAAAACCCCAACATAAAAATCACTGTACTCCTCTAGTTAGAAAACTGCTGTTTCTGTGATATTTTTTGTGATGAAGCATCCCTTGAAAAATGTTTGACTTTAGCACTTGACTTTAGTTAGAATGCTGGCCCAGCTTCACAGAGCAGAGAGGTGAGATGGCAAATGGATTTAGTTCCATTTTTCTTTTATGAGCTCTGGGCCCATCCATTATTGAACTCTGAGGGACATCAGCTGAGTCAACATACAGCCCTCTGGACAGCATGTTGCACATGCAATGAACCAAAACCGCAACTTAAGCATCAAGGATCCCACCAACCCCCACTGATTAAAAAACAAAAAGCCCTTCTTCAGTCATGTTAGGGGCTGCTGAAAGCCTCTTTCTCTCTTCACTTTATTGCATTAATTCTATTTATTTCACTGTTTTACTTGGAAAGTAAAACCTTTAATATTCCAACATCAATTTTAAGGTCATATATCTCATGAATTTGATATTTGATTAGTTTTTCAATACTGTTCTGAATAGACAACATCTGAAATCCAATTTCAGTGGAGCATACGGAGTAATAGATAAAAGGTCAGCACTTTGCCACTGCAGAACTCTCTTTTAACCTTACTGGCTTGTTAGTATAAACTCCTGCTGCGTCTATGTCTGTAGCAGACAGCTAATACAAAGAGCAGAGCACAGGAGCTTATGAAACATAGCAGAAGGGCCCGTTTATGACCGTTTCACCATCCTGAAGCCTGAAGAGATTGTTTCCTTTAAATTAAGTCAAGCTGTTTTCTGTTTGTCGTGGCCGTACATATTGAGAGGCTGTTACAGGAATCAAACCTACAATAAAGGGGAATTGTGTTGAGTGTTTCTTTAGCATGCGTTGGTGTAGAGCTGACTTCATTCAAGCTCTGCATATGAATGATTAGTGACTGTAGCTTTGAATTCAGATCACAGTTTGTTTCTCTTTGACAGAAACCATTTCAAATTTTATTTTGGAGGTGGTACCATTGTTAAACTGTTCCCATCTTTGATGTTCCTGTTCAGTGTTTTACTCAAGCCTGACAGAAGAATGAGATCAGGTAAGAATGTTTCCCACAGCTCTGTCTCTGACGTAAACTAGTGTGACGTTTGTAGGTGCTAAAACTCTCCTTACAGAACGCTGGTCATAAATTCCTTTTTCTCCCCTCTCCACAGAAACCCGTTCTTTATTCTGGTGAGACAAGTGATAAAAGATGAAGAGGACATGGGAGCTTGAATGGAGAGCTTCAATGTTGTCAAACGCACCGACTGATGTTGGTGTGGTTGAGAGGGCATAATGTAGAATAAAAGTGAAAGACAAATGGAAAAAGGGCTTATTTCTTCAAAGGTGTTCGTCATCACTCTAGTGGTTTCCCATCCTGCCCTGGGAGTCACTGGGCAGTAGCTGTGCGTACAGTACTAGGGCCTACTTTCCGTTTTTTATCCACTGGAGAGTGTAGGTGGAAGGAAGTGAAAAAATATGAAGATCAAAGACAAACTGTCAGCAAGTAAAAAAGAATAATTGTTAAAGATAATTAAATGGTAAAAGCAGGAAGAACAGTGACAAACAAGATGTGGCGAGGTGAGAAACAGGTTCAATTTATGGATAATACTTATAAATCTTGTAGAAACTTGGGAAACAATTTGAGAGTGAACATGAAAATGCCCCACAAACCGGACCAATTAGTGTGATTTTGAAAAGGCATGAATCACAATAAGGTGATGCATTACTTCTTCAACGAGTGGTTTCTGAGATATGGCGTTTACCGCATGAAGAAATCAATAGTGAGTTGCATTCATCCAAATATGACCCAGAGTTTGAGACAGTCAGAAACAAAAACAAAAAACAGAACTATTGCAAATATTCAAATACAAGGCAGTATTCAAATACTTCACACGTCTTATTATGTTTATAATGAACACATAAAAGCTGGTCCAGGACTGTGATGGTTAATTGATCATAATGTACAATTTTACAACACTAATTAGCACAACATCGAAGTATGTCCCACTCACCAATCTGCTGTTAAAAATTCTGTGTTCACTCTCAAAATTCCTTTTAATCGGTCTAAAGATATTGTCAATAAAAGTCACTTCTGGCTGATGTTTCAAATTAAAAGCTTAGCAGGAAACTCAGTGGATTATGTCCTTTGAGCCTGTGGAAGCCTTCAACGTAAAACTTGCAGTGCAGAAAGTGTTGACTTTTACTGACGGTAGTTTAACACCATTAGAGCCATTGGAATTAGCTGGTGAAGTGAAAACAATACTAACCCCTGATTCACACTGCCTACCTGAGCAGCTGCGTCTGGCACGCACCGAGTGTCAGCTGCATGGCTGCTGCTGCCAGCCCTATCTGTCTATACTGAGTTGGCCTTTGATAAATACCATACAATAAAAGCCTTGTTAACGTACGAATGGATTCTGTCCACATAAACACCAGAGAGCTTTTAATCTAAAGGAGGTGTTGCGTTTAAAAAAATAAATGTATATTTTTTTCCATGTCTGTGACATATTCTACAGATACAGACGCTGAAACTGTAGTGAAAGGAGCATAGGTTGCTGGTATAATTACGATATGACTACGAACAGACCATTTTCACTGTCTCTTTCTGCTGGGAACCGCACGCGGCTCGCAGAAGAAATAGGCAAGACCTTGACTCTCTAGTGAAGCATCGTAGAGACGTGTGTGAGATGCGTGACCTGCATAGACAACCATTACCGGCATAGTGACTGCTCTAATCTGCTAATATGGGCACCGAAATAAAAAGCAAGACATTCTGCCACACTGCTCAGGTAGGCAGTGTGAACGAGATAAGTGTTAAAAAGGGAAACTGAGCAGCTGACTGATGAGTAAATAATCAATTTATGTTAAGTGCAAAATACAGATGTGTAGGTACTGTGTGTGCGTGTGTATTCATGTGTGCAAACTGTCTGTGGCAAAACAAAATCAAAGCTTGAGCATGTAAAGAAAAGTGCTTATTCACCTTTATTAACAGACTGTTAAGACACTTTAGCACCTCAGGGTGCTTTCCAGCAAGATGCATTTTTTTCCTGCTGAGATATGCTGCTTTTAAGTTACTACTTCTAAAACCACCTCAACCTACTTAGTTTATGGGTGTCATTTAACTCTCCCCCGCACGTTAGGAGAAAAAAAAGATAAGCCACCCCCGATGTTTCTGTGAAACTACTAAAACTTTGGATATGACATCCATATTGAGCGCTAATATCTGAGAGCGTGTGCCTAAGAGCAAGAGATGTTCCGCGCTGAGCCGCTTGGCACCTGCAGGTTTATTGAAGAAATATGGAGCGTTAAATCTGCCAAACTACTGCCGCTTTGGCTGTGAGGGGGGAAACAAAGGCAGAGAATTATACCTGCAGGATGGAAAACAACAGAAAGAGGACTGACAATGAGGAGGAGAGAGCAAAGACGGAGACAGGCAGGAAGACAGACAGAGAGAGACAGACAAACAGGATAATGATCTCTCTAGACTGCACCCTCCTGAGAGAGCGCGACAGTGAGAGGGAAAGAGTTGCGACAGAGATTTGTTTTTTAGGATGGTGGTGGAGTGCCACTTACTTCTCGATGAGGTCTAACGTCACCCCTGGCACCAACTTGGCACTCTTCTGCATGCAAAACCTGAAAAAACAAACAGACAGAGAAAAGCTGCTGATAAGAGTTGGAGAGAAAACAGGAGGTGCTCACAGACTAGGCCAAGCAATAAAAACGTTTGGCCTCTATAGTACAGATTTTACGACCTACGAGAGAGACAATCAACGGATAAAACGCTCAAATGAAAAATGAGGGCTTCAAAGATTACAACAACTGAGCACTTTGATAAGTGTGTTTTGGCTGAGTTACAGTCAAAGGGGAGGGGGCAGGCAGTGGGAAACACAGAGGCATATTTCTCAAACGTCTGATGTGGGGGTTATTGTTTACTGTGCGTGGTTAGCTCCGACAGGTCGGGCCAGCTGTAAGTCACAGCAGGTTGGTGCTCAGAGCCTCGACAGACGCACCGCTCGGCGCTGGAGCTCACCGCGTGTCGTCACACACCTGGAGGAGACCAGGTGTGTTTGTGTGTGTGTGTGTGTGTGTGTACATACGCAAACATCCGTCACACATCAACGGCAGGCAACATTGAATGTGAAAAGCATTTGAGATTACACTGTAAAAAACATTACGTCACGGGAAAACAAAGTTTTGTTATCTCGAGATCTCAAGAAAATTAACTTGTTATCACGGGAAAACGGAGAAAATAAAATGTATGAATACATGGCCCTTTAGGGCTTCCGTAATAATTAGGGGTATCTATTAAAATGGAACATAATATTCATAGGTATTTTTTCATTAGTGTATAATCACCTAAAAATAAGACTTGTGTTTTCATTATCTTAGAATGAGCTTTTATCAACAAAGGGAGCGGGTCGTCTTCTAAGCAGCCCGCCATGTTGTCCGCTGGCAGCCAACTGTCTGGCAGCTGTTTGGTGCTGGAAGGTGGCGTAAAATTGTTCTTTTAGTCTGTTTCGCTTAGAACAGCCACCTGCTGTTGCTAGAAACTGGACTGATAAGAGACAGAGCCACTGAAAATGATAAATCTAAAACACTCCGTAGAGCTGAGGGGAACTGAGTTGCTGATAATTCTCTATGGATTTATCAGTACAAGTGACACCTTTCACATTAGTTGTAGTAATTTGATCCATTGTTCATACAAATTATATGATTGGTGCAGCTTTAAGGTGTAAAGAAGTTAGATAGACTTAAGATTCAGCCAACAACAGATTGACTGTTTTGATCTGTTGTTAGTTAGGTTTGAATCTCAGTTATGTTTGTGGGTATTTTGTTTGTTTTTTTAACTTGTAAAGTAGTTTCGAGTCTGAAACTTCAGGTGCCACACTGCCTCAAGATTACAGCTGTTGGTATATTCTTGGCAGGCAGATTCCAATCAGGATCAGTGCGAGAGAGGGCCCTCTGACAGACACATAATGAGTCTCCATCAAGCAGCTTTTTTAAAATTTGAAAGAAGGAACTTTTAATCTAAATGCAGTTCAAGCTCGGAACTATGCTAATAAGTCAACAATGTAAAAACTGGCAACAACAACCGAATTTAATATGTTCAACTCATCATCTTATAGTTGCAAGGTTTTAAGTCATGATTAGAAGTTTTGAAATGATACTGACTGTAGGAACTATTTGACCTGAACTGAATTTGACACATAAATCGAATTCGAATCAACTTCAAATGATGAGCTGGTTTAATTAATTTGGTTGAATTGTTACAGAATAAAATCAAATGGTCAAAGCTACTCTTTACTATCAGTCAGTTTTCTCCACAAATAACAGAAACTCATGCCTGGAAGTGAACTTATGTTCCAAATGGTTAGAAGTCGATGCATGGATCAGGAATATGTATCCAACAACTGATCCGCCCTGACTCTGGCGTAAGCTATGGCACTCGCATTCAAAGGTTCTTCCTGATGCTGGAGAATAATGAGGTCCCTTATGACACCAGTGTGACTAAGTGTGTCTTTATAGAACAGCACAGGCCCTGAGTGTGCCCGGCACTAAAGGAACAAAGAGGAGGAAGGATGGAACCAGGACAACTTGTCCTAAAGTCTTAATAATCAGGAACTTCTTGAATACAAGCCATGATGTGCACAATCTGCATTGGTATGTGCCAGCACTTTGCTGTTTGTCAGGAACACAGGTCTATCATTGTTTTGCCAATACAACACAATCCAAGAGTGTTCTGCCTTTACTTTTGCATTTCATTTGAACCACAGAATAAATATTTTGTTTATGATTTGCTGCAAAAGGGATATGGAGAATCCCCTGACACAAACAGAGATGATTAACTAAAAATTGAATCTGGCAGAAACAGACAGACGGGCCAAAGTAAACAGAGCACAGACCAAGCTGGTGGTTGCATCAGGGAGAGCGTGTTTCCACCCAACCTCTGTGTGGGGAGATGTAAAATCCCTCAGGCGTGGGAGACAGGAAAAGGGAGAGATGAGAAAGTAAAGATAAGGAGGAGAGGAGCATTTGGTCACACCAGTATCTATAGTAATCGTCCCCCACAACCAGCCTCAGAAAAAGCCATGTTTGAGCTCTCAAATGATCAAAAGCAGACTATAACATTCTGATCACCCACTGCGACTAGAAGACGTGATTCTGTGAGTACTTATAATCACAGTATATGAACTTGAACCCTTAATGGTTTCCCTCAGGCGTGTTTTTTCTGATACAAAAGTAAGAATCCACCACAACAAGTGAATATCTTTACTGCTTAGCAGAACGTGTGATATTGCTGCAAGATGCAAATGATGTATAAAATGGGTATCAATCTAAGCTACACAGCCAGCAGCTAAACTTCATCCCTGTGACGAACTCAAGAGGGGTATCAGAAAGGGATGCAGATGTTTTACTCCACAGACCTCAGTGCAGCAATCTGACTAAATCTTTATTCTACACAGCAAAGCAGAATTTTAAAAAGTGCATTACACAAGCTGAAACCAGATCATACGTCACTCTGAGGCTGAATAGTTTGAATGAGTCGTAGGGTCAGTGGAGAGAGCTTTTATCCAGGCTTGTGTATTATCTTTTCAAATCTGCCATCGCTCTGGTCTCACCTAAAGCTCACTGCTCTTTGAAAAATATCTGCTGAATGCAGTTCATCCGGATGAAGCATTCAGCCTAGTATTTGCTAATTAGAGGTGCATTTACACCATCATCATTCAAATGAAAAACACATCACATCAGGGGTAATGTGAAAGCTAAAACCTCAAAGTAGGACACTAATTCAGCTCAGCCATGACACAAGCTCAGAAAATACTTCTTAAAAGCATGAGTCAGCCAGAGGTGATGGGGGTAGCTTGCTTTTGATTTAAGACATAAGTATTTCTTTAGACTCAAGAACCAGCTAGACATATGAGATGAGATGTAAGATTTGTTTTAGTGATCAGTTTTTCCAAACAGAAAATTTTAAAGATCACCAATTAGGGCCCTATTTCAATCGCACAAGGGCTTACGGACTGTGTGAGTGTCTGTAATCTGATGTATCCTGCATAGACAACAGAATACTGAGGTAACGGACCTGTCTGATGTGAGTAGAGGTGTGTGGGGTTTACTTGTAGCAGCCTCATGTCATTTGCATGTGATCTAATGAAGGTAAATGTGGCAGTTGTGTGTAATGGCACTGTGCCTCGGTGCTGCATTCTTCTAATCAGAAGCTGCAGATTTATGAACATATGTGTCCTGCTGCCTTCAGATGGCTGCAGAGATTTAATGAACTGAAGGAGAAGCTTTTCATACAGTATGAAGCAGCTGTGGACAGAAATGTGTTATTTATTAAAAGATCAATGCTAACTGATTTACAGACATTCCTACTTAAATGCATCTATCAGTTAGGTAGTGTTTAATCAAAAGGGGTTTTTTGCATTTTAAGAATATTTCTATCATCTGCTCTGACTATTTTGTTTCCTCATGTTGTCAAAATCATCAGGTTGGCCAGAAGACCAGCAATTGGTTCTGAGACGTCTGCTCTCAGCAAAAAGCCTAAGATCATATTTCCACCAAAATGCCAACAACTCGCTCTGTGCTGCCTCATTTTAATGAACCTCCCACCTGTTTGTGCCACGAATGCCTCCAGTACTGAGCACGAAAATACCACACATATGGGCAGAGCAAATTTCAAGGTCAGGGAAATACCAGCGGTCAGAGTGCTGCCATAACAATAGGTCTGTAACTAATGTCAGCATGTGGGTAGTTGGGCTTTATGGGTCCATCATACAAAAGAGTTACGTAGCTTTGGGTCTGATTGAGAATACGTATAAAATTGTTTGAAATACTTTGATTACTGACTGCCGTGATACACATTCCTGGAGGAAACCACAGCACCCCAGACGCAGGGCTAGCATGTGCTGAGCTGGGTATTGGGTCAATATTAAGCAGACTGTAGCAGACACTTGCTGAGGAGTTGGCTCAGCCTGCTTTGATTTCCACAGAGATTCATCCCTGCTGCCTGATTCTTCCCTAAAGGGCTAAATTGTGGAATTACCCTTAAATTTGCCTGGTAGTTAGGGCACAGTTTCCTCCTAAGTGATGTTTCTATTCTTTACAAATGGCCACATTTGGCTCTTTAACTGTTTTAACTTTTAACTGTGTCTGAAATCACTCTCTTGTTCATGCTTTAACTACACCCTATATAATAGACACTAGTTTACTCTAGTGAGCAGTAAACTGCGATTTCAGACACTTATGAATCATCATTATTTTCCAGCATCATAATGACATCAAAGTGTTAATTTGCATTCTGGTACATGTCACACTAATTTCCATTGAATGGATTTTTGATGGTACAATTTAGCGCATACACTTTACACATTTGGAAACTTGAACAGTAAATATGGAACATTATGGAGCAAATAGAAAGTGATTTCAGACAAAGACAATGAGGTCTATGAAGTTATACTTTGTTACAGGAGTGCTCAATGCTAACATCAGCATGCTAACATGCTCACAGTAACAACGTTAAAATTATGATGTTTAGCAGTGTACGAACGTTTTTAGCAAGTGCATATGATAACATTTGCTAATAAGCACTTTTAGCACAACACCACATGCAGCTGAGGCTGACGTGAATG